AGGCTTCTACATCTCAGAAAGGATCCTTGGATCTTTGGCCAAAACTTACCATCTCCAGCAGGTCTGGCTCTGCACCAAGTGTCCCTTCTTTAGTAACACAGTGAATTGTTTAGCATCATGGGAGGCAACAGTTTACATTCCTTCAGCCTGTTTCAGCAAATATTCTAAATTTACTTGTGGATTGGCTTTTACCTTCCTGTTTGCTTTGATAGAGGAGCTGGTAAAGTAACTTTATGAGTTACACCTCTGTTAGAGACACTGGCACACACCCCTGTCAGCAGCATTCATGCAGCACAAAGGATTTTGCTTTAAGGACCAAATTCTTGTGGAATTACCCTTTAATGCGACTTTTCTTCTTGTGAGAAGGGCACAAAGCACATACATATTTATGTATACATATGATACACAGGTTCTAACAGGAATAACTTACCTTAAAGCTAACATTAAGATCAGTGTTCGCCTTGGAGAGGTTTTTCTTGTATTTCTAGCAAACTCTGGGTTTTTTAGGCAGAGGAGGAGAGGACAGTGTGTAGCTGGAAGTGCTGTATACTCCAAAGAACTGACAATGTACAGAGAAATGGATTAGACAGGATCACTTTAAACAGGATTGTTTTCCTGTTGTGCTTTTGGTAGGAGGTGTGTTTGTAGATGCTAAATGTATGGGCTGCTCTGTGCTCTAGAAAGCTGCAAATCTAAGCTCCATAATACTGAGTCTTCATCTCCCTGCTGTCCTGTGATCCTCCCTGTCCCTGTTTACTTGTCATTCTTACAGGCAATGTTAGTTTAGAAATCAATTTTGCCCTATCCTTGGTTTTATAAATAGAAGGATTTTGGAACAAGCAAAAGAATCCTGTTCTCTTCATTGTGTTTAGCTCAGATTTCTTCCTCTGGAAGTCTCTTTCACATATCAGGAGATGATGTGTCTCTGGTTGAGAAAACAAAGGATGCTGCCCCTGTGCCTTATGGACACTGCTCCCATCTCAAGGAGCTGGGTGACCCACAGTTAGAAATAAGTGCACAAAACACAGAAAGAGAGAATATTTGAAGTTTTAATCCAACAAATGAAGAGGATCTTGACATGGTAAAATACCATTGTATTGCTAATGCTGTAGAATTCTACATTAAAAACAATTACTGTCTATAGATGTAAAAATAGCAAGTTTTATGATACAGTAAAACACAGTATAGAAACAGTTTAAAATTAAGTAGAAACCTCTTCCACAACTGAGGCATTGATCTAAGTGTTTCTCCCAAGGTATTCAATAAACCACAGTTAATACTGACTCTAGACATCCCCCACCTTCCCCACTCCCCACCCTAATTAGACTGATTAGAAAAATAGTAGTCTCAGTTACTACATTTTGCATCCTTTCAGAGCCATTTAGATTTTCCACTTTCTTCAAGCACAGCAGAACAACTTCACAACACAGTTCTCCCCCCAAGGAGTTCATCTCCCAAAGCTCTAGAGTTTTGGAAGTATTTCAGATGCATTTTGAAGGCCAGAGGAGGCCCAGGAAGTCTGCAGGAAGGCAATCCAATTCTGAATGCAAATTATTTACACAAAACATTAGTGTACTGTAATTACAGCATAAAACTTGCAACACAGCTGATGGATGCTTTTGACAAAAGCTCCACATGAAAGAAAGGGAAGAAAACCAGATTACAAAATAAATAAATCTAAAGTTCCTCATGGTAGAAACGCTCATCGTGGAGCTGCCTGCCATAGTCTGTTGCTTCACTGTTAAGAAAGAGGTCCTGGTTCTTCAGAATTTCTGCTTCGGAGAGTTTTTTATCACCATTCAAATCCATCTCTTCAATGAGGTGAAGAGCCTGAAACAGAAACAGAACACCACGTGCACCAAGCCACAGCAGTTCTCAGAGCTTTCCTTATGTATTACAAAAGGAGGGAAGCTCAGCAGCAAAACACAAACTGCAGAGTATTTTAGTTGTAGCTCATTCACCACTGGCTCAGAGCTCAGGGGCTGTGAGCAGCTCCACTGCACCTATTAGTTCTGAGAACAGAGTCCTGGCATTACATGAGCTTTGCTTTCATTTGCTAAACATCTACAAATACAGTGATTTCCAGATCCTTCTGTCCCTGCTGTCTCTGATTGGTTCAGCTCGGCATAACTGAGCCAAAAATAACAGGCACTAACGTCAGGCAGGCAGATTTGAGGAGCACTCTGCATGGCACAAGCTGAGAGATTAATATGACAAACATCTTGGTAAACACATGGCAATTCCTGAAAGTGGAATGTATAGCAATTTTTCTATTTTTATGCTCTTCAGCTCCCAAGTTTCTCAAGTCAGTTTGAAATGCCAAAATGGAACTGTGATATTGAGCTTCAAACAGCAGTGCAGGACTGAAGCCAATGCTGTTTTGCTTTAGGACAGGTGACTTTGCTAAGCCTTTATATTAAAGGAAGAGAAACAAAATAGCATGTTAGAGAAGCACCAAAACCAAAGGATTTCGTGCAGAACTGAGCCATTCCTCCAGCATGGCCTTGCTCTATGACACCACTTGAATCAATAGCAAAGAACAGCTAAAAAAAAACCCCAAACCAACCCAGGTATGAATAGACCTAGCAGCACACAGACTTGATGTCAGAATAGTGGTGTTTCTGTGAAACAAGGACCAACCACCCTCAAGGGTCAGATGTTAAAAAAAGGCTGTGCAGAGCTCCATTTACAAAAATACTAGTGGAGTGACCAACCACACAGCTGAGCCTCCTCCCTGCTCAGCCCTGTGAGCTCCAGCACTGCTGCCCCAGTGCTCTTCTGTCAGCTCCAGGCAGACACAGCCAGAGCTGGGAGCTCAGGAATGTCATGGCCCAGCTCAGCACTTGGGGCTCCTCTCTGTCCCAGGAGCCATGGGAGGAGCTGTCGTTCCTGCCATTCTGAGCACCAAAAATCCTCCAGTGTGAAGGAAAGACATGGACAAGCCCAGATAAGTTCCAAGTGGGAAGGCAGAAATCCTCCCTGTTGTAGGACAGGCTGCCTACTAAACCAGGCTGTTCTGGGACACTCAGTGCTGCTACAGAAAAAAAAAAGGCATCTAAAATCAGAATCCACTTAAAACCTATTATAGTGTTCTACCCCTGATTAAGCCTGTTTAATTACCATCATCAAAGTTGGCTTTACAGCATCTTGAATCACAGAGCACTTCCATTTGCTTGTACTTAAGAGAAGTTTTTAGTTCTACAATTTATGGTGATTTATCCAGTTAGAAGAATCACAATCAAATTTTGTTTTGAAAATGATGCTGTCAGTTATTAGCAGCTTCTCCTGGCAGTGCATCTCGTTAAGATTTACCTACAGGAACTCAAAGATTCCTAATTAAAGTGCTGTGCCCTTAAGGCAGCAGATAAGCTACTTAAACATGTAGAAAACATTTCGTTCATTTACAAACATTTACACAAATAATAGAACTTCACATTTGCCTAGTGCAGTTAAAGGACCTGCAGTCCTTGTCAAACTGAAAAGAGGTTAAAAATACATGCAAAGATCTGCTAATATTCTGTTTTAACAGCTAAGACATGGCAAATCCGAATGTGTCCACTGGTTTGTTGTGGCACATTCCAAATCCTCCTGCAGGAATTAAACCCCAACCAGCAGTCAAACCACATTACCTCCTCTTGGGCAATGCCCTGATTGTTGGGCACTATCCACGACAACAGCTCTTGACGGTTGAGTTTCCCATCATGATCCTTGTCATAGTCATTCACAAAACGATCCTTCTCCACAAGAATCCATTCTGGATCTTCCTTTGCAGCTGGTAAGACAAAGCTGTCAAGTTTAAAGCCACTCTTCACCTTAATGCAGATGTTTTTACCTTTTCTCCTAAGCAAATTCAGTTAACCTCATAAAACATGAAGTGATGTTACTAAGCAAGACAAACCTTAGTGGGCAGAGGAAAGCAGGGAAAGCACTTTCCTTTACTGTTAGTATTTGTTAGTTTATTTGCACACTTGTTTGATACTTACCCTGTGCACTAGTACTGCATCCTGCAGCCTCAGCCCCAACCTCAAACTTAGCTCTAGCTCTTCAGAAATTTAGAAGCAACTCATCCAACTGGTAAACATTGCAGACAAGCATGAACAGACCTTAAGACTTTCTAACCCTTAGGAAAGTCACAAGCAGGAGCTATCACAAGCACAGTAAGTGACAGTTTCAAACCACTCAGGATTCCATTATAAAAGAACAAAAAAAGAGTGTAGTCTCTCTCCTTCGTCTCTTAAGTTTTGCAAGTAGATTATCCCTTAATGTCACAATTCCCCATACACTGTTGCCCAAACCCACGAGGTAGTATGAAACCAGAGGCACCACGTAGTGTGTTAGTGATTTCAGAGTGCTGCAGAACACTCTCTGCACGAGGGATAACGAGAACATTTTGGAGAAAAGCTGAAGTAATTACCACAATTATCGCTGATTCTGAATTCCTGCTAACATGTTGTAATGACAAAGCTGCAATCTTCTCTATTACTGCAACAATTTCCCTCCTTTGCAACAGCCTTGGATAGGCTGACTTGAAAAAGCTTTCAAGTCAGAGCAGGAAAAAGATAAGACATCCTGTTAGTTGTATCAGAGATCTATTGTTTTTACTGCCTCAGGCAAACTAAGGTGGTTAGAAAAGGTGAAATTCCAGGTACTGACTGGAGGGAAGAAATAGAGACTATTGCCCTGTTTCTCCATATGCTCATGTGGCTTGGACAGCTCTCCCCAGCTAGGATGCTCCTCAGAATCAGCACTCCTTAGGGCCAGGGAGACTTGCCACATAACTGAAGCTTTGTGGAACTGGAGGAGTTATTTGCCCTAACTTGTACCAAATCAAATACAGTGTGCAAAGTATGTATTGATAAATATGGATAAACACCACGTTAGTGTCCTTTTTCTTGTTAACAGAAGGAATAGATTAAGTTTAAGGAAGGGCAAGATTGGGGAAAAAAACCCAGCCAAACCAACAAACCAAAAGGTGAAGGCAGAGAGGCTTCTGGTGTCTGGTACAGAGATTCTCCTCTACCTCTCTTACAACACACAGGGCTCAATCTTTCCACAGCAAGGCTGAGTTCTGCCTGCTCAGGCTGATCCAGGCCAGGGAAGTTTACCCTTGCACTCCTGATGTGTTCAGTTAGCAAAACTGCACCTTATTTCAGCTGCATCCCTTGTCATCAGGAATAGGCTTCAATCTTTAGGAAAACAAGAAGCAGCTTGGAAGGAAACAGTGGAATGGGCTACACACAAACTACTGCCAAATGCACATGGGACAGACTGAAATAAAGAGCCCAGTTCCAGGACATGGGATTATTCTGAGACAGGAAAATGTTACTCGACCTGTAGGTGGAGGTGTGAAAAGGTGAAAATAAGGGTAAATACAATCCAACCCATTCCAAAAGCTTTTGTTAGTTCCTTCTTTCATGCCTTTGCCTTTTTTCCTTACTTGGGTCTCTTCTGTAATCACCAAGGAATTCTTCCAGGCTAACAAATCCATCACCATCTTTATCATGTTCTTCTAAAGCCTCCTGAATGACAAAGTCCTTTTGTATACATACAAAGAGCAAAATTAGCAACTGGTAATCAAGACAAACAGCACTAAATCATTTTAGAGCAGTAAGGTATACAGGAAAGGCTCCCTCGTTTCACATCTCCTTTTGTGGATACGAACTGGTGCAGTAATTGTTTCCTGGGCACCAAAACAGATCTGTTCTTAGGAGTTTAGAATGTCAGGTTTGATGAAAACCAAATCTGAAAGGTGTCCATAGAGTTGGGACCCTTCAACATCATTCAGAACTACAAAAGCAGTGAGAAACATGAGTATGTGCAAAGCTCTGTCATCTCAGCTCACTTTTTTTTTCACGGGATGGATTCACCAATTTGCATTTTTGTGACTTTATTGAATTGTTAGGAGAAATGGTTGGTCTTTTGTCCTGTTTCCCAGTGAAGCTACTGTGCCCATTCTCCTAGTCCTGCCCTTCCCTGTTTGTCCATAGCTGTTGCTGTGCACACAGAGTCTGTCTGCTCAGCACTCCTGCTGGCAGCTGCCTCTGGCCCCAGAGGGCCAACACCCACAGCTGAAGTCTCACTGATGGATTTGCAGCCTAAGAGAGTGGAGAGATGGCTAAGTTTGGGGTAGTTGTGCAGTCCTAGTTCTTAAAAGAGATTTCAGAGGAAAGCACTGACCTACTGCTCCAGTTCCTGACCCCTAGCACTGAATCCACAACACACCACTTGACTTTTAATCTGGGCTGGACAAGCCATACCCTAACTGCCCCACAGCAATGAGCACATGCATGAAAGACACACTGCACCTCCAGAGCCTGATAAAAACACTGCCCTAACTCTTACCGTCATGTACTCCACTTCCTCGGGGTGTTCAAAGGCAACATACTCATCCACATTTAGGGCAGGAACATCATCTCTATTAGCTTTTTCAAAACGTTTTTTCTCCTTTAAATGAAGCTTAGAAAATAGATTTAGTTAGAGCCCTTAATGAAAAGGAAAAACAACATTATAGTAGTTGGCTGTAAGCTCATTAGAATATTCATTGCTTCCCATTACCTACTCATATTGTACTGATGTATTTTCACTAAGAAGAGCTCATAGAGAGCACTTTTAATTGAGGTAGTTTATTCTAAGACTCACATAACAACCTGATTTTTTTTCCTACTGAAGGAGCCATTTCAAACCCACTCTTGGCCGAGGCTTCAAAACACAAAAGGGAGATAATGAAAAGACCAAGAATTCTCCTTTTCATGCGTAATTCCTCTTCTTAAAGTCATCAACTCCCAAACTACCCAAGTTGGGTGCAATGATTTTAATTAATGGCAGCCACTGCAAATTCCAAAATTCACATTTTGAAGGACATTAGACCTTCTGGATCTAGATCTAATTTATATGAAGGGCTGTCTGTAGTTCAAAGAAGGTCTTGAAATACCTTCTACATAAAATGTCTTTTCTGAAGCCACTTTAAGGGCTGAAGGATTTGCCAGATTCCTTTGCAACAGGACTGTTATCCATTCCATCTGAACATTTCAAAGGAAAGTCACTTCTCTGAGCTGTTTTAAGGACATATATTAGCAAGCCTTTAAAAAATAGTAGCCACAATAAGCAGGAAAGTTCTTAGTCCTGCATGTTTTGCACTTCCTGTTTCTGTATTCCAAATGAGAGAAAACAGAACATTTTTGCACATTTTGTCCAGTCTCCACAGGCAAAATACAGCCCCACACCACTGATACCTGATCTCTGCTGAAACCACACACAATGACATCTATAAAAGTCTTGGAATCCCACCATGAAGTGTGATGTGCTGTCAGTGTGACTGTGCTGGGTCAGGGAGTGGCCAGCAAACCAAAGATCAAAAATACTTTAAAAATAACTGTTTGAAGTTGTACTCCCAGTTCAGATCCTGTCTATGGATGCTGCTCTCAAAATGAGGCTGATTAACACAGAGCAAATCAAGTGTAAGGTCTTAACTGATCTGCAAAATAGTTAAACGCTCCCTGAAAGAACAGCTGAGCTTGGCTGAGAGTTGAACCAGGAAGGGGATTCAGAAGGAATGACTACACAAAGTACTAGACAGCAACATGAATTGGACTATTGAAGGAGAAAGTCTGTTTTCCACTGGTTTTTGGGAAGTGAGGACCAAGGCTGCCACCTCATGGCACACTGCTGTGCTGACTCGATGGCAGTTCTGACTCCACAGCACATCTAACTTCCATTTTGAAGCGAGCAGGACCACTCAGCCCCACACGTAGGAAGTGCTGGCCATGGCTGACCTGTGATGCTTCTGCAGTGCTGCTAATCTGCAGTCTGTGCTGAGCCAGCAGACAGTCAGCTTACAGCAGAACTGGGCAAGAGTTCTAGCTCAGGTATCCACAGCTCTCTACAGATCTGTGATGGCAACCTGGGATCAGTATTTTGACTGGCAGTTCCACTCAAAGTTCTGTGTTACCTGAATAATTACAGAGCTTTTAGATAAGTGGCCTCCAAAGCTTCACTGTTTGTTTCTTCAGTGTGTAAAATCCTCCCTCCACTATTTTAGTTTCACTTCTGCCAACATCTACATCACCTACTACTACTTTACTAAAAGCAGCCAAAGCAATCCTCACAGGAGAAAACCTCGGGCCAGAATAGTCTAAAAACTTGCTTAGTCTCTTTTTGGGAAATAATTACATGTACTTAAAAGTGTGTAACTTGAAACAAGTTTTGCTATGTGGTGGTTCTTGGTGAGCCTTTCCTGTCTCTCTTTCCTCTTTCCTTTCCCCTCTTAAGCATCTGCTTTCATAGATGAGACTAACACAAAACCTCTGAGTTTATACATAGTTTGAGCTATGGGAGTTGCATTTTCATTGCTGAAGCTGTCTGTATTGCTTTGCTGTCTCTGTGGATTGCTAATGGACAGGCAATTTTCCAGCAGGCAATATTGATACCCAGGCTGGGTGGGTGCTTGGGCAGGAGCTGAAAAGTGCTACAACAGTGCAGTGAAGGGGTTAAAGAGATTCCCTCTCCTCCCACAGCAGCGGTGCTAGCCCTGCTGAAGGCAGACACTGCCAGGCTGCAGACCCAGCCCAAAGGATTGTTGCCCAGGGATGGCTGGAGACTGTGCTGCTGTAACACTGTCAGTAGACTCAGGCTCCACTCAGCCAGCAGAATACACTCGGGAGGCACCACCTCCTCGTGCCTTTATTTTATTGGGAGCAGCTTTAATACTCCATTCCTTTGCTTTAATTACTCCCCTATCTCAGGCAGCAGAAAGTGTTCAAACACATGCCAGCTGCTCTGCCTTCTCTACCCATCTCTTCTGTCACAACAAACAAACAGTTGCCTTTTGCCACCAGCTCACAGACACTGCTGCTGAAACATTTTACCTGTCGAAATGATTCTTCTTCTTGATCCTCCAGGACAGTGTTCTCATCAAAGTCAATGACACGGTCATACATTTGCAAGTTATACTCCTTCCAGGACACCAATCCATCACCATCTTTGTCATAGTCGCTGAAGTGCTGCTTAGCTTCCTGTGTAACATAATGCTTGAAAGACTGCTGGATCCAGGAGCTCAGCTCATCTAGGGGAAGCATTAAAAATACAATAAAATAAAAAAACCCAGAATCATCTGCACTATAAAAACGGTAGAGACACCACAGATCTCTTCCCTCTGGAATGTACTTTGCAATTCAGATGTAAGCAGATAGGCAAGAGGTTAGTTAAAGCAAACAAATCCATTCCCTTCTTTCCTCCATGCTGTGGCTTTTCCCAAGTTTAACTGGATCAGGGGATAGGTCACAGCTACAGCCTCTGTTCTTTCTAGATGATTACGTGTCCATGTCTTTCCAAATCTGAAGCAAATCAACCCTGTAGCCTCCTCTCTTGTTCTTCAGAGCTTTTTGAAGGAGATACTGAACATGCTTTAGACAGACAACTTGAAATGGAACTTGGTACCCCAAAAAACCTTTGTTCCCATCACTTTGGGGTTTCTTTTGAAAAATGCACAAACTGAAATTAAACTCAATTCACTGCCATTGCCTTCATTACCCAAAATAAAGTATTAACAGCTCTTTCCCCATTACTTGGGGCTGAAATCAAGCCTTATATAGTTTGGAAATGCTTTTAAGCCACTTGTTTTTATGGAAATGTGGCTAAAAGAAATAAAACTTAATATACCAATGGATTCACACAAATACATTGAAGTTACTCCATTTAAAGGAGATTGGGAGAACATATTCCCTCAGTATCTCTGTTATTTTCAGGTGCCTGGAAGGGGAAGACAATTTCCTCTGCATTGCAAAATTATATATCTAAATCAACTCCACTGAAATCCTGCTCTGAGGAGTCTTGATGGCTAATAAAAAAATCCTAGAGAAATTACTCCTTTGATGTAGAAAAATCTTACAGAATTTTTAAAATGCTCTAGTATCTCATCCTGCCCTTCTTGGCAGAAGCATCAATACAACTTCACTAGGTTCATTTAAATATCTTTGAAAAGCAGCAAGATATTTTAAAAAATATATTTCAAATGCTGAATTTCTATTAGCAAAGGAACAACTTTCTAAGAGGCTCTGGGAATGAGCTGAACTGAGGCCTGGGTGCCACTGAGGCCTATGCACTGCCTCAGCAGAAACTGCAACACAGTTCCTTTGAGATGGGCAACATATAACTCATGGCATGGTTTATTCCCAGCTCTCCAGGCATTAGCACAGCCATGTGAACACACAAGGTCCAGTGCCATTCATCAGCAATACTTCAATGCTCTGACCTTAGAGAAGCAGCATTAATATGTCCCATCTTCTCCCACTGTCAGCCTCAAGTGGAGGCACCACCAAAATGGGAAAAGTTCTCAAGAAGAGTTTTGCAATACACCAAGGAGTAAGTGAGCTGGAAAAGTTACCCTAAGTTTCTTTAGTGTACAAACACACTGCACTGCCAGTTTTCCTTTGGGAAGTGAGAGGAAGGCAAGCTTCCATTAGAAACCAGATGCAATATATACCATGAGGATGGACTATGGCTGGAATTTCTACACTTTAGAGACCTTTTTCTCTTCATGCTGTGGACTGCCTGATGTCTACCACAGGGATTAGCCATCTCACCTCTCCAGTCTGTGCAGGAACACTGAAATCAGGCACAAGTGTTGAGCAGGAGTAAGTGCAGTTGCCTAAATTCAGCATGAAAGGCATTCAGGAAAGGTAGCTGATCTTGTCTTTAAAGCCATCTTTTGTCCTCTCACCTAGAAAACTTCCTGCATGTTCACTTTGAATGCAATATTACTGTTCTGGCACTTGATTCTGTTTGCTCTCTGCGTGTGCACGTGAGAGGCTCTTCATATTTTGCCAAAAATCCCAGCAAAACTCAAAAAATGCACTTTCCTAATGAGTTTTAAAATGAAGTTACGAGTGTTACGGTGATGCCCTGAAAAGAAGGGCCTGAGTTTATCACGGATAAACTGATAAACTTTGATCAAAATCTGTGTGGGAAGAGTTGGATTCTGTGTTGGATGAAATCTGCTCCCTCAGTGGCACTCGGTGTCAGCCGAGGCACATCTAACCTGGTGTGAAGAGTTGGATTCTGTGTTGGGTGGAATCTGCTCCCTCAGTGGCACTCGGTGTCAGCCGAGGCACATCTAACCTGGTGTGATGTGCAGAACTTGCTTTGCACTTTAGAGCTGCTCTCGGCAGGGCCACGAGCACAACCTGCGCCGGATCCCGAGCGGCTCCAGGTGTGCACAGGTGGTACCTGCGCTGGAGCTGCTCCCACCCCAATCGC